GAGAGAGAGAGAGAGAGAGAGAGAGAGAGAGAGAGAGACAGACAGACAGACAGACAGAGACACCAAGACACAGGCTAAGGAACTCCTCACCAACACCAACTACACAAACGGCCGCTCTGTTAAGATTGTGCGAGGCCCGACTTGATAGATATTCGTATAGACAGATATCCACATACGCAGATATAAATGCATGAATCTATCCGTCTATCAGATTTATATACATCAATCTATCTCTCTGTGCGGTAGATATGCGTGTCTAGACTGATAGGTATGCGTTTTTTTCGGTGTAATTGTATGTCTATATCCGTCTATCAGATATATATACATCAATCTATCTATCTGTGCGGTAGATATGCGTGTCTAGACTGATAGATATGCGTGTCTAGACTGATAGGTATGTGTTTATTTCGGTGTATATGTATGTCCATATCCGTGTATCAGATTTATTTACATCGGTCTATCAATCTGTGCGGTAGATATGCGTGTCTCGAATGATAGATATGCGTGTCTAGACTGATAGATATGCGTTTATTTCGGTGTATATGTATGTCCATAGAGCGGATGTTCACCGGGTTCGCAATTTTAACAAACCGGCCGGAAGTTAACGCGTCAACCACGAACAAGAGGCCTTTTCGTCGAGGCCAACAGCGTGCGTCTACCTCGATCGCCAGGGCATCGAGCAAGGAATCCCGAGGAGGAGTCCCGTCACTCCCCACCCCTGGCGACGTCGGGGAGAGAGCCACAGGTGGGCGGCGAAGGTGGAGGAGCGGGCGCTGCGGAGGGGCGTTTCCGAGGAGCGGACTCTGGGCGGGACCGAGGAGGGGGGCGTGGCCTAAGAACCGCAGTTTCCTCTGGGTCCCTGGGGGCGGTGGGACGTGGGGTCCAGTCTGTTGGTGGGAGGGGGAGGAGCGAGTGCAGTGAAGGGGGTGTTTGTGTCTCAGTCTCACCGGGGTCTCGGGGGGACGCGCTCAAGCCGAGCTATCGTGGAGACTTTTGTTTTGGATTTCCACAAAAGGAGAAAAATAAAATAATAATGGGAAGTGCCCTCTGAGACTAGATATAACGATATAAAACCGTCAAATAGTAATAATTGGGGGTGTCCTTTGAGACTAGGTATAGCGAGGATATCAAAGCCTCATATGATAAGAATGGGCTGAGTTCTTATTCGTCTCAATTCTTTCAAGTCTCAGGGGAAGGAACTCAAGCCAAACGCCAGGGAAGAATTTTGTTTAGAATTCCACGAAAAAAAAGGAGAGAAAAAAAGGAAAAAATAGGGATGTCCTTTAAGATTAGATATAACGATGATTTAAATACAGAAATAAAAAAACTACACATTATCATCTTTATGAGATAATCAGTCTCATTAGTAAGTAATTGTACTCTCTTTCATTAGTGGCATTACAGAGTAGTAGAATACACATATAGGGAAAAATTGTTAGATAGATAGATGAGTAGAGAGAGAGGGAGAGAGAGAGGAAGAAAGAGAGTGATAGATAGATAGATAGATAGAGATCGATAGAGAGAGAGAGAGAGCAAATAGAAAGAAAGATAGAGAGATATATAAAGAGAGACACATAGAATAGATAGATAGAAGAAGATAAGATAGATAGATAGATAGATAGAGAGAGAGAGAGAAAGAGAAAAGAGAAGAAGAGGAAAGAGAGAGGAAGAGAGAGAGAAAAGAGAGAGAAAGAGTAGAGAAGACGACAGACGACAGACAGACAGATAGATAGAGAGGAGAGAGAGAGAGAAGAAGGAGAGAGAGAAGAGAGAGAAGGAGAGAGAGAGAGAGAGAGAGAGAGAGAGAGACAGACAGACAGACAGACAGATAGAAGAAGATAGATAGATAGATAGATAGATAGATAGAGAGAAGAGAGAGAGAGAGAAGAGAGAGAGAGAGAGACAGACAGACAGACAGACAGACAGATAGATAGATAGATAGATAGATAGATAGATAGAGAGAGAGAGAGAGAGAGAGAGAGAGAGAGAGAGAGAGAGACAGACAGAAGACAGATAGATAGATAGATAGATAGATAGATAGATAGATAGATAGATAGAGAGAGAGAGAGAGAGAGAGAGAGAGAGAGAGAGCGACCTGCATCTCCCTTGAGGTTGCACAAACTTCCCTAGTCTGTGGAAATCCATCGGAAACTTCTAGCCAAGAGGTCTTCGCGTGGGAGGCTTGAGTAAGTGACCAAATAAAACATTTACGGAAAAGTATATTTTTTTCGCTTTTTTTTTTTTTTTTTTTTTTTTTTTTTTTTTTTTAAGGAGGGACCATGGTATTGTTAATATCCTTCTGGTGATACTCTTGGAAATACGAAATGGATTGGTGAATGTTGTATCAGGTGCACGTGCATATACACACAGACACAAAGACACACACAGGCACACATACACAGGCACACACACACACACACACACACACACACACACACACACACACACACACACACACACACACACCATACAACATACATATATATATATAATATATATATATATATATATTATAATTATTATATATATATATATATATTATATATATATATATATATATATATATATATATATATATATATATATATATATATATATATAATATATATATATATATATATATATATATATATATATATATATATATATTATATATATATATATATATATATATATATATATATGTATATATATATATATATATATATATATATATATATATATATATATATATATATATATTATATATATATATATGTATATATATATAATATATATATATATATATATATAATATATATTATATATATATATATATATATATATATATATATATATATATTATATATATATATATATTATTTATTATATATTTATATATATAAATATATATAAACACACACACACACACACACACACACACACACACACACACACACCACACACACACACACACACACACACACACACACACACACACACACACACACACACACACACACACACACACACACACACACACATATATATATATATATATATATATATATATATATATATATATATATATATATATATATATTAAAAAACATCCAAGGGAAAATGAGTATGATGGAAAATAAATCGATCGTAATCATAGGCTTCAATTAGGCTGTAACATCGATATCATATTCTTTCTTATTTTTTTCCGCGGACAAAAGTAAACATTTCCTCATAAGTCATTTTTTCCTATCATGAGGATTGAGAACGGATTTCAGAGACTTTGAACTTTGGCAAGTTGAGTTTGTATAAAAAAATGAAAAAATAAAAACTAAGTTAGATACACGCTTCCAGTAACGATAATGATGAAATAGAATTAATTTCGGGATTGTTAAAATTTGAATTTATTTTTGAAAAAGGGATTCTGTAATAGACTTTCTAAGTAAAGCTAAAAAAAGACCTTTTAATAGAGAACTTTTCCAATAAAGGAAACAGATAATACTGAGTTTTCTTATGAATATGCTAATTAGATGAAAGTCAACTGGATTTTTGACATTACTTTACAAATTTGTTCATTATCATCTTTTTCTCGACGTTGTAAAACAAATGAACTTTCCATTCTTTAAAAGGTAAGACACAGAATCCTTTTTGAAAATCGCTTGAAATCTGTATTTTTTTTTTTTTTTTTTTTTTTTTGAAAATAGGAAAGTGGATCAGACCGTTAAACTTAAAACTAAACTAGAATGTTTAATCAAAAAGTATATTGAGATATTCATTAATAACAAGTGGTTTCGACTGAAGTATTCCGCAATAACTGATTTGCAGGATTTTACAACGAAAAAGTGAATGCTTTTCGACTGAAGTATTCCGCAATATCTGATTTTCAGGATTTTAATAAGAAAAGTGGCATGATTTCAACCTTAAGGATCGTCATTCTAAATTAATTGCGGTAAAATGAAAGATCTGAGAGAGAGTGATAATTGATGGAACTGACGATAAAGATTATCATTCAGAGTTCTTATATATATTGCCTTCATCACGATTCTTAATGGTAATTAATGGGTCTTCTCACCCAATAATCATGTTATTTTTCCCTCAGAACTAAAGATTGACATACAAATAATTCATCGAGATTCCAGTTGTGAAGAACACATTTTATAATTAAAGAATATGAACACTAATAGCTGTATAATTTAAACAAAAAGAAGATATTATCAACTATCATTATTCTCTCACAAACATAATTACCAAATAATAATTTCCAAATAAAACCATGACAGAAAAAAATCTCGAAAAAGAGATTTTGAAAGAAAAGACACATACGAACACACAAAGGTAAGACTAAAGACACATACATACAGCTTAATGGTCATTATAACTTACCTTATAATCTCTGGCCCGATTCTTGGGTAGAATGACGTCTCTGTCCTGTAAGAAAACAAACAGATCAATCATTAACTTTTTTATATTGATCTTTTATCTTATTTTGTTTTATTTGTTTGAAATTCCTCAATCTCTTGCTATCTTTGTCTTTGTCTCTCTCTCTCTATCTATCATTATCATTATATATATATATATATATATATATATATATATATATATATATATATATATATATATATATATATGTGTGTTGTGTGTGTGTGTGTGTGTGTGTGTGTGTGTGTGTGTGTGTGTGTGTGTATGTGTGTGTGTGTGTGTGTGTGTGTGTGTGTGTGTGTGTGTGTGTGTGTGATGTGTGTGTGTTGTGTGTGTGTGTGTGTGTGTGTGTGTGTGTGTGTGTGTGTGTTGTGTTGTGTGTGTTGTGTGTGTGTGTGTGTGTGTGTGTGTGTGTGTGTGTGTGTGTGTGTGTGTGTGTGTGTGTGTATATATATTATATAATATATATATATATATATTATATATATATATATATATATATATATGTATATATATTATATATATATATATATATAATATATATATATATATATATATATATATATATATATATATATATATATATATATATATAATATATATATATATATAATATATATATATATATATATGTGTGTGTGTGTGTGTGTGTGTGTGTGTGTGTGTGTGTGTGTGTGTGTGTGTGTGTATACGTACATATAAATATAAGACAGACACAGTAAGGCAAAAAGAAAGAAAGACAAAGATAGATAGATAGACAGACAGAAATAGAACGACAACGAGACGGAAGGGGATCACAACATCCCCAAGCCTTATCGACTGATTAGGCCATCAATCGATCGCAAACTGTAATTACACCTTATCAAAAAAAAAAAAAAAAAAAAAAAAAATGCTTAGTCATTCAGGGGCCGGAATAAGACCCAGCAGGAATCCAGCTGCTAACTTAATAGTGTTTTCCAGGCTATGAAAAACAACACTGTTACTCTAATTTTCTTCCTTAATCCATTAGCTCACAAGGATACTTAAGGTAATTACAGTGATATGGATAATGTTGGGAAAAGAAAGGTGGTGATAACGATAAGGGTGATAATAGTAATGATAATGATGATGATAATAATGATAGTGATAATGAATTATGATGATATTGATAACAATAGTAATAATGATAATAGATGTGATAATGATTATGATAATGGTAATATTGGTAATTATAGTAATAATGATAATGATAATAGTCGTGATAATGATAATAGCAGTAACAGCATTGATAATTATCATAATAGTAATGATGAGGATAATAAAAATAATTATAGTAACAGTGATAATAATTGTAGTGATGAAAATAATGATAATTATGATAATAACACCAATTGATAATGATAATAAATAAATAATAATAAATAATAAATAATAATAATAAAATAAAATAATAATAATAATAGTAATAATAAAACAACAATGATGATATAATGATAATAATAATGATAAGGATAAATAAATAATAATAATAATAATAATGAAATAATGATAATAATTAGTAATAATAATAATAATAATTAATGATAGTAATGATGATAATGATGATAATGATAATAACAATAACTATAGTAATTATAACAATAACAATATGATAATGATCAATAATGGTAATGATGGTAATAACAATAATACTAATACAAATAAGAATGATGATGTCATCTATCTATAACATCAATGATTACAACAAATACATTAATGATACCAGATAGTAATAGCAATAGATAAAGTAACTGGTATAATGATGAAGGCAAAAGATTTTTTTTTTATTCTTTCTTATTCATCTTTTTTCAAATTCATCACAACAAATTCTTAATCAAATTTGGAAAAGGGCCTGAACAAAGGTAGTTTTCGATAAACACATAAATAATAATACTTTTTTTTTTCTATATTTCATCATATTTTGTAATAATATCAATCGGATATACGTATTTTAAATCACAAGTAAGTATTGACCTTCCTAATCAGTACCTATTCAGGGATTTGCTTAGCTCAAAAAATGGTCAGATTTATATATCATAACTCATAACCTTATGGCCAAAGACGCTGATAAATACTATGGATCATATCTAATATTCCTTCGTTTCCATATTATATGTGTCGCAATAGCATAATTATCTTCGAATGGTAAAGGATAAGTGATAAAATAATGGTTAAAAAAAACCCTCGTGTGAATAACTGAGCTTTGGAATAACACGAGGCAGGGAAAATCTACGGGAGACAACCCACATTTAACTATACAAAAATACTCGGCTCTCTCGATCCTCTAACGCAGTATCAACCAGTCTGCAGTGTTGAAATGAATGTATGCAAAACTATGTGATATCTGTTAATGGCAGTTTGTACATATTTAGATAATGTTTGCATAAATATCAGTTATGATTTGATATCTGCTAAAAATGTGTTACCATTGATGCGTTAAAAGTTTATGATTTACTTAACAGTTAAGTCATGTTACATGTACAGATACAGCACAGTATTTGAGCTTCAATTGGAGATGGATATTATGATATCAAATTAAAAGAATTTTGACCCGTGTCTGCGAATAAAAAAAACGGACATATACACAAAACACACACACACACACAACACATACACATACAAATGCACATACATACATACATAAACACCCTATACATACCAAACAAAAGTCATAAAACGCTAAAAGACAACAACCCAAACCAACAAAGAAATACGAAAAAGAAAATCAAACCCGAAATAAAAATGAATGAAAAGTGACCATAAAATAAAAGAATACCTTGAGCGAACCAATTCTTTTTATGGAACTATTGTTAGACTAACACCCACCCTGCTTTTCCCTTCCACACTTCAATAGACTATAGCGCTTCTTTCTCCGAGCTTTTATTAAGTGCTTGTCAAAGTGTGTTCCTTTGGCTTCCCGAAATGAGATTATTACAAAGGCAATGGTGATTATAATGCTGGCGAGCAAACAGCTGTGGTTATTTTTATATTCAAGTTCATATATGTATATACGTATTTTTACTTTTCCATGCATAATTATACACTTACACTAACTTACACACACACACACACACACACACACAC